CACAATACATACTGAGGTTATGTTGCACCTCTCCAATTTTGTGCGCCACGAAACTCGGTTGCGCCACTAAACCGACAGTGAAATCGGACAATGCTAGGCAACACACAAGAGTATTAGCTGGGCAATGAAGCGAAAGCGTTCTTTGATAAGCGAGAATGATGAAGAAATTTCCCAGCGCGGCGGTCAGCGCGAAAAAAGAATTCACGACAGCTGTGATAATGTTTGTTGTATACAAGTAACCGGCGTTGTCGAAGTTCGTGTCTAAGTTGAAACAGCTTTGCACCGAAGCGTGAACATTTGAGGATGGATCTGACGAAAAATTCCCCATGTTGCGTCCTGATGAGGCCAAATTGTCGATGTTGTAATCCGTTTAGAAACACCTGCTGGTGTTAAAAGAGAAATGAAAAAGTTATTGGCGTGATGCAAATGTTAGATTAAACATATTATACTTCCCATTAAGGACACTTCCTTCGAATCAAAACACGAAACATAATTGCCCAGGAAATGTAAAATTCAAAATTATTTACTTAATTAAATTTTCCATTTAAGGAAAAAAATACAAGCAGTTTCGTTTGATTCCTTTTGTAGGCCAAGTGTGATACTGCAAAAAGTGATTTGGTAAACTATACTAAACACATCTTAAATTAGCTGACCTTATGAATTTGACTTTAAAAACAAATGCATGCAATACAATTCAAGTTTCGTTCTTTAGATCAACGTGGCTCTAATATCTCTTACATAATATCCTTATACACCGTACATCATATTGGATGTTACTAAAATAAACACATTAATGCCAAAGACAACTTTGTGACAGAAATACGTGAGTTGAGATGTTATCATAAGAAAGAGAAAAGCAAGTCAATATTTCATTTTCGCATCGATAGCCCTTTCTTCGTTGCAAAAATCTATTTAATTTTAATAATTTGATTTGTAACAGGGCCGCACCACTCCTTATGGACACTTCTTCGAAAAGGACTCCTCTTCAATTTACAAACACTTCAGTTTGTCTTAATGAAACCGGAGTTCTTAATTTCGCTACCTCTGTGATACAGCTCTGCCATTTTGATGTTCATATCAAAGAAGTACAATGTATATTAATATTAGAGGTTTCGTTTTTTAGTATATAAACAAACCTTCAAACAAGTGTGTACATCAATTAGCCTCAGG